CTCGATCCCCGTAGGATCTGGCAGGCGGCATCACACCTCCCTAAAACTCCTCCGAAACCCCCGAAGAGAAACTGCCATGAACTCCAACAGCTCTGAACAAAGCCCAGTGTTTCCAGTTGTGCTATCCACCTTTGGGCATTTTTGGAGGAGATGGGATGTCCTTAGGTGCTCCATAACCTTTACATGAATAGTTCCTTTTCTCTGCATAAGCACATTCTTAAAGGAGCGTTGGGCTTTCATTCTCCACTTACTCCAACCGTCGGACTTCTCTGTTCACTTGTTTAAATCAAGCATAAAGCTCTAACTGTTCTTTGAATATTTATGACTAGTTTTTATCTCATGCCATGCATACAAAACATACTTGATTTCTTTCCTAAAAGTTTTTTCAAGTGCAAAGTTTTAAAAACATGTGGCTTTTATTGCAGGCAGGAATGAATAACAGCATTCCACCCATAACCACATTAAATGGAACAGTAATATTCATATGCGTAAGGGCAAAAGCTGCCTTGTTTCCTATTTGCAGTTGAACTCTGAAATTAATTAAGGACTAAAAGGATCTGACAGTCATTAGGATCTTTTAAAAGGGAGTGGAAGTGGCAGATGGGACCCACGCTCCGAAAAGCGCGGCCGTGCTATCAATAGCAGGGAGGATGTGAGCCCTGAACATGCTCCTCGTTGTCGGGGCTGTTGTGGGGAGAGGAGGATCGCGGTCCCGGCCGACGAAGAATGGCACTTTCGTGACTCCACAACCGCAGGATTCACGTCAGTGGCACTCGTGCTCCTCTAAGTCACTTCGCAGCTTTTGAAAGCCCCGGCTGGTCCCGCCGCTGCCGCGCGCGCTCCGGTTATTGGTGCTACACCCCGAGCACAGGGCGCCCGTCGGGGGCTGGTGCTGGGGAATGGGGGGTCCTGGATCCCCCTGGGAAACCATAAATTCCCTAATGGCAGCAGCATCACTGCTGATGCTCCACGGGGTGTGTGCACTTGGCTCTCTCTGGTCCGTGAGTGGCCAAGGATGCAGGTGTGGGTGGAGTGTCTCCCTGAGGATTCTGATTGGCATAAGAGGTGGCAACAAAACGTACTGGTATATATAGAATGGGGAGAACTGGGAGGACAGGTGAGCCCCAAGGCTGTATGGAGTGCCAACGGTGACTTCTGCAGCCATAGCCTTTTCTAGGCATTCAAATAATGAATAAAACCTGGCCCCAGGCAACCAGGTGGGAATCTCCAACTGATTTTCCCTGCTCACAGCATTTCGTGCCAGGATCTGAAACTCTTGCTAAAGCCCTCCTCGTCCTCCTCCTCTTCCTCCTCCTCTTGCTGCCCCAAGCAAGGATCTTGGGTGCCAGGGCTGCATACACAGACAGTAAGGTGGGTAACCACAGCTCCCATGGGGTTAATGGGTGTCCCAGCTCAGGATCCAGTCTCAAGCTGCAGCTGTGCCCTTGGAAGTAGGTGCTGAGCAGGGCCCCCCCCTGCAGGTATTGCCCCACCCCGGGGCACAGCAGCCTCCGAGCAGAGCCCAGTGCAGCCCTGCTGGAGTCGTCATCGGGCCGCTCTGGCAGCTGGTCCCTTGCCCAAGCAAAAGCTTCTCCTGATTTATGTCTGGGGCAGCCACTGCCTTTTCTCCCCCCCAGTTTCCCCTAATTTCTTCCCCTGGGCCCCGCAGCTTCCTCCCGCAGGAACCTCTGCCTCCAGCGCCCACAATTGCCCCGTGGGAGCCCGTTTTGGCAGCGGCACTCAGGGGTTAAAAATTGTCACCATCGTGCACCCCATTGGCCCCAGCATCTGTTGTTTGATTTATGAATGAATAGCACGCTCCCTCCCTGCATGCTGCTCTCAGATCCCCTTCCCTGAGCTACAAAATAGATCCAGACACCCGCATGGCCCTACTGAGTGCCGAGCTCCTGAGAGTTTGCGATGAATTTTTAATAGAAAGCTTCCTATAAGCCTCTGCACTCGCTGCTCTGCTGTCGAAACGAGTGGCTCTGCTGCTAAAGAGCAGCTCAAATGAATTAAAAACTACAGAGGAGCCTGTAAGGGGAGTAATCCCAGCGAGTAATGATTTAAAGAGCCGCTGACCTCCCTGCGATGTGAACAGTAGCTTTTAAGTATTTGTAAAGAGGCCCGTGCAAATCCCGGGTCTGATACTCTGTTAACCTCCTCGGGAGTGCAGGGAGGGTGGCAGAGGAATAATCCCCACGTGTCGACACCTCCTGGTTTGTGGAGGGCCAGAGCAGTGGGAGTTTTGCTGCCTGTTTGAGACTCTGAATCCTGCTGTGCTGGAAAAGGATAATTCAAATGAAAACTCATTCCTGTTCAGGCACGGTGCTGTGGGTCCCTGGAGCTCTGGGATGGCTTCTCTTGCATGAACACCTCCTGCAGAAGTAGCCACGGGGTTGCTTTGCTGGACTCTGCATCTCCAGAGGTCTCCAGGCAGTTTGGGGTTGTGGGGAGCCTGGGTTGTCACTGCTCTGTGGTTTGGGTCTCATCTTATATTGCTGCAAGTCAGCAGCTGGCTTTGTACCTATGTGCAGGGCCGTGCTGTGGGGTATGGGGGTGACTCTGCATCCCACCACCCTGAAGTCAAGAACAAGTCAGGGTGGGAGGTCAGAGGGTGGTGGAGAAAGTGGGTTTTGGGGAAGGAGCAAGACATGGTACTCAGCACACCTGTGATTACATCTGTGAGTGACTCAGGGTCATTTGGATAGTGCTTTGAGGAATCAAGGTGTTTTATTCAGTGGCCCCTCCAACAGGTTGCTCCCAGTATAAAAAGGGATTAGACAAATTTTTGGATGGCAGAGCTGTGATACAGCCACTGGATAAAACAGAGAAGGCAGGGAACGATGAGCATCCTGCTCCAGGGAGGCAGCTCAGTCCTGCTGGGACCCAGCCCAGTCCTGCAGGGGCCCAGCCTAAAATCACCCCACGGCTCTTGCAGGGCCCGTGAGGTGACACCCACCCCCCGCAGCTCCCGGGACTGGGCGGTGACAGGTAACACCCCCAGGGCTGTGCAGAGCAGAGGTGGGGGAACTGCGGGGTCTGTTTAGCAGCGGGAAGGGGCAGGAGAGGCACCGGTGCGGGGGCGTCAGAACCCAGAGCTGTGCGGGGCGGGATGGAGGGTGTCAGCATCGCGGAGGGTGTCAGCACCCCGGAGGGGTCAGCATTCCGGGCCGGTGTGGGGGTGTCAGCGGGCTGGGGGCTGTCAGCATCCCGCCCCATCCCATCCCATCCCGTCCCGTCCCTCCCCGTCCCGCCCCGTCGCGGAGCCCCGGCGCCAACCAGCGGCCCCGCCGCCGCACTGCAGCGCTGCCCCGCACGCTCCCTGTGCCCCCCCGACCCGCTCATCCCTCCGTGCCCCCCACATCGGGGGGCACAGAGGGGGCACCGGGATGGGACGTGCCCGAGCCCCGGCAAACCCCGGCCCCGCCCGCAGCTCTGCCCCCTGCTCCCGGGTTTCTGCGGGTCACCCCGCGCTGCTGAACGGGGGGCGAAAAATAGAACTAAACTTTCACCTAAAAAGGGCAGACTTGGAGCGCCGGTAACGGCGGGGGACGGCCCGACACGCGGGGCTGGCTGGGCTCGGAGCTGTGCCCGGCGGCGGTTCGACGGCCCCGGTTCGCCCGGCGCGGATCGCGGGGGTGTCCCGGTGTAACGCGGGGCTGAGACGCGGGAACCGCCTCTCCTCATAATGGAAAAAAAATATACATACAAAATATATTTTTTCTTCTTCTTCTTCTTTTGGAGAAACACCGTTTTTTTCTGGGTCTTGCGCAGCCCGGCCCGGGCTCGCTCCTCCGGGCACCGCGGCTTGCGGGGGAAAACGGGTCATTACTTCGCGGAGGGAGTTCTGGAAAAAGAGGGTGTTTTTTGGTGTTGGGGTTTATTTTGGTTTGTTTTTGAGGAGATTTGCGTTTTGCACCGTGCAGCGCGGAGCCGGGAACGCTGCGGCCCGGCCGGCTCCGCTCTCGACGGGCCGTCCCGGTGCCCAAACAGCATCAGGCTGAGCTCAACCCCGGGGAACAGCCGGGCAGGACGGGCAGAGGAACCTCCACCTCCGCCCCGGTGGTTCGGGCAGCCGCCTTCGTTGTGTTCCCGCAGCACCGGTGGCTTCGCCGCGAATTTTCTCGCCAACGATTCCGGCCGGAGCCGCCGGCCCTGCCCGCAGCCGCAGCCCCGAGGGAGCCGCCGCGGGACGGCCGGGGATCGAGGCGGCTCTCAATTTTGGGGAGTACGTCGGGCGGAGGTCGGGCATCCGCGGTTTTCAGAGCAAGCCATGGGGTGAACCTCCTCCGGCGGTGGTCCCCGGCGGTCCCCGGCGGCTCCCCCCGTCCCGCCACGGCCGAGCCCACGCGGGGGCCGCGGGAGCGCTGGGGGGTCGGGGGACGTGCTCGATCTGCAGCTGCTCCGCGCTGCCGCGGCTGCGGCCCCAAACCGGCCCCACCGCACCCCAAAACCTGCCCCGGCGGCCGCCAGACCCCACCGGGGCCCCGACGTGCGGGGGCGTGTCCTCCCCGAGCCCACGCCTCTTTTCATGGAGGCCACGCCTCCTTTCAGTATTAACCACTCCCCTTTCGCGGTGACCACGCCCCTATCCCCGCGGGAGCCTTGCGATGGGCGGGGTCAGGGGTCTCCCGCCGGCTCCCCATTGGCGGGGCGCCCCGTCAATCAGAGCGCGTCCCGCCCCCCCGCGGCGCCGGCAGTAAATACGGTACCGGGCGGCGCGGCGGCAACTTGGGAGCGGGGTGCGGGACGAGGCTGTGCCGGGGCTCCGGGCGGGACCCACCGCAGCCAACCCACCGGGGACGAGCCCCGGCGCCGCGCGGGAGCCGACAGAGCCCGCACCGCTCTCCCCCTCCGCCGAGGACGGCGGTGTGCCGGCACGGAGCGAGGCAGCGCGGGGCTCTGCCGCCGCTGCCCCCGCCGCTGCCCCGCCGCAGCCGGACTCCTCCTCGTCGTCCCCCCCGGGCCGCGGCGGCTCCCTGACGCCCGCCGTTGTGATGCGTATTCCCGTAGACCCGAGCACCAGCAGGCGCTTCACACCCCCCTCCACGGCCTTCCCCTGCGGCAAGATGGGAGAGAACAGCGGGGCGCTGGGGGCCCCCGCGCCGGGCGCCCGCGCTCGGCCCGAGGTCCGCTCCGTCGTGGATGTACTGGCCGACCACGCCGGAGAGCTGGTGCGCACCGACAGCCCCAACTTCTTGTGCTCCGTCCTGCCGTCCCACTGGAGGTGCAACAAGACGCTGCCCGTCGCCTTCAAGGTAAGTCGGGGGGCTCCGACGGCTTGCGACCCGCTCGCCCCTTTTCCCTCCCGCTCCCTTTCGCTTAAAAATCGCTCCTGACATCACCGCCGAGGGAGCGCGGGTTATTATTTTTAATCAAATAGCCCGGTTTATTATTTTTAATCAAGTCTCCGCATTGCCCCGCGGTCACAGCATCTTAGATATTCCGTACAGTTAGGAGCTCTCAGGCAACTTTGAAGTTTAATGAGACGGAGGTTAATTACTTTCCTGGGAGAGGGAGAGCGAGGCAGGGAAGGGAGATCTAATCTGCCAAAAAAAAAAAAAAGTAAAGCGAAGAGCCGAAGCCCCGGTACCGGGTTGCGCTGCCCGGGCTCCCCCGTTCGCGGGACGGGGCGACCCGGTGGGGCACGCCCGGACCGGGCATCCCCCGCTGCACCCGCGGGGGAACGGGGCTGGCCGGGGGGAGCCGAAAACCTGCCGGAGGAGCGGCGAGGGGAGCCGGGCAGGACGGCAGCGGAGTCCCGGGGTGCCCGGCAGGGGTGAAGGGGGGTCTAAACCGGGTTTCCCCCCGGCCATCCCGGCACTGGGAGCTCCGGGCGCTGCTCCCCGAGCAGGGGGGTCCCTTCTCCGCCAGCCGGGCCGGCTCCCGGCGCCTCCCCGGGCCGGGCGCGGAGCTCCGGGGCCTCGGTCGGGGCAGCCCCGCGCTCGGCGGCGCTTTATTTTTTTTTTCCCCGAATCCAACAAAATAAAACCACGAACCCCTCAGACGGGGCCTGACCCCCCCTTTGCCCCTTCCCCGCGGAACCCCTTTCTGCTTTTAACCCTTTTTTTAGCTCATTTCCCCCTTCCCCCTCCGATTTTTCAGCCTTCCTCGGGGGCTCGGATTGCTTTTGGTTTTGCTTTGGGGTTTTTTTTGTGGGGATTTGGGGGGGGGCGGGGGGGTAGGGCAGGTTGGGTTCGATCTAGGTTAATTTTAGCTTAAAATCCTCTGGCCCTGCCCTAGGTCGTAGCCCTCGGAGATGTTCCCGATGGGACCGTGGTCACGGTGATGGCGGGGAACGACGAAAATTACTCGGCGGAGCTGCGCAACGCCTCCGCCGTGATGAAAAACCAAGTAGCAAGATTTAACGACCTCAGATTTGTTGGGAGAAGCGGCAGGGGTAGGTACCGGCCAGGAAATGGTTGGCCTTTTTATTTGACTTTTTAGAGGGGAAAAAAAAAAAAGAAAAAAAGAAAAAATGTTGCTTTTTTTTTTTTTGCTATTTTATCTTATTATTTTTATTTTATTTTAAGTTTTTATTTTATACGTTTATTTTATGATTTTATTTTATTCTGTATTCTATTTTGGTTTTAACGGTGGTTTCGTTGGCGCGGGCTAGGCAGGAGAATCCCCTCAGCCCCAAAGTGGTTCCCGAGCGATGGGAGGGATGCGGGAAGGATGAGGGAGGGATGCGGGAGCAGCCCCAGCCCCGTCGGCAGTTCTGCCTCACTCCTTCCCGGGGTCGGCTATGGGCGATGCGAGGGCGAAAAAAATTTTAAATACACATCTAAATATACATAAATATTAGTAAATAAATACATAAATAGAACCGAGGCAGCCCGAGCCCAAATCCTCCCCGGTTTCTCTCATCAGCAGGGTGCAGGAGGCAGCGCTGTGTGCTCGGTGCCTCCCCTCCACCGCGAAATGTGCTCAGGGGCAAAACCCACCTGGCGGCTCGTTTTTAAATAGTGAAAATCAAGTGTTTAAAAATAGCCCAGAGCTCGGCCTGACGGGCTGGCAGCGGGTGAGGGTACAGCAGGCTCTGCTCCGCGGGGAGCTGGGGTTGCTCCGGAGGGGGGTTTTTTTGCACATTTTCTCCACGCTCGTCGCGTGGAAAAGCGAGACAGAAATTTAACTTTCCGGGTTTTTCAAAACGAATCAGGCTGCGCCGCTGCAGCAGAGGGAAATAAATCCCCTGGAAATATTAAACACAGAGCCCTCCTTCCGTGCATCCCTCCCTGTACCTGAATTTCAGAGGGTGTAAATAGAATTTCAGCATTTCATCACCAATAAATGCTGCAGACCGAGGCACTTAATTCTTCATTTAAATCAAAATAAGAACACTATATTTTAATGGCCATATGGCAGCATTTTCTCAAAGGCTTCAAATGTATACACACAGTGTCAGATATATTTTGACTTCTTTGCATTAATTAAAAGCAGTGATGTTAGGAATTATTTGCATGTAATAGCTGTTTACTTGTTCCTCTTTATGAAACTTGAATAGTTTACATTCTTTCATACATTTCCTTTTTCCTGTTGGCTCCTTCTCCATGTTGCAGTTTCTTTAAAACTCTCCACTTAACTGGTTGCAGGTTGATGGATGGAAAATGTTTTTCTTTTATGAATTAAGCTTTCATTTCTGTAATCAATTATTCTCTTAGGCTCTTTTCTTTCTGGTTGGGTTTTTTTTTTTTTTCATCCCTGCACAAATTTCCAAACTGAATGCAACCCAATCTCAGCTTGACTCTTGAATTCATTATTAACTTGCTTCCTCTGCACTCCCAAGCTCTGAATTAACAGTAGTTTAGTCTCAGAAAGCCCTTGGGTGAATAATCTCCTTCCTCGGGCAGAGTCCTGACAAACGCTCATTACAGCAGTGGAAACACCTCCGCTGCCTCTAACGGGTGGAACTCAAGTGCTTATTATTTTAATGGGTTTTTTTTTGTTTTGTTTTTACATATTCTTGTGGGATGAGGCTTTGTAACATTCACAGAGAAACAATCCCATCAGGGCTCCCTGGGGCTGGTGTGAAGGCGGCACAGTGGGGTTTTCTCCCAGCGTGGAGCGTGGATTTAGTTCCCCGTGTCCAGCCGTGCTTTCCCGGCACGGGGCTCTTTCAAACCAACTTAGTGTGAAAAAATCGTTCCTGCTGAATTTTTATTCCGGGTGTCACACTCTCTTTCCCCTGCTCGACTCAGCCTCTGACAGCCCGGTGCTGGTTTCCTTTATTCTGGCAGAAATCTGGATTCGCCACAGAATATTTTGCTGCAGCGGGGCTGTGTGTGTACAAACGTTTGTGGAAATCCAAAGGGAGGACGTGTGCACCCATAAACACCCCCCATCCAGCCTGTCCGTGTGCCTGAGCTGCAGGAGCCTGGAAAGCCAGCAGCAGCCAAGCTCTTGTTTTGAAAACATAGCTTGAAATGGTTCAGAATTGGGTATTTTTAGTGTTAATGTGTCTGGGATTATTCCCCGGCGCTGAGAGCTGGGAAGAGCCAGTCCCAACCCCTCCAGAAAAACCCGAATTCCCATCTCCATGACAAAGTGGGGAGAATGGCCAGTTTACCAGATTTTATGCTTTGCTCTAAAAAAAAGTAAATCGGCCCTTTTCTGCTCAGACTGTATAAAATGAAAGCTGAGGCCGGCGTGGTGCTGCGAGCCTTGTGCACCCCGTGCCTGCTCTCCCTGCTGGAATATCCCCCCGGAGCATCCCACGGAGCCATGGCTGCTCCCAAACCCACCCAGGAGCTGGGATCCAGCCTTAGCCAGCAAAGCTGGGGCACGGTGGGAACGAGCAACCCTCAGCCCGGCTTCCTGAGAAGGCGGGAAATGAGTAAAAATGATGCTAAGTAATAATTGTCATTTTCGATTCACGGGCGGATTTTTGAGAGCTGGTGAAGGGATGCGAGACTGGCTCTGGCTGGCTCTGTGCTCCGTCCTCCCTGAAAAGCAGGGAGGTTATTTCACAGGGAGAATAAAAAAATTTGAAATGGTAATAATAATAATAACAATAATAAATAAAATAAGCCAGCTGTGGTAGGGAGCTGGGCACGGAGCTGCCGGGCTCAGCTCTGGGGTGTTTTGCGTCTCACCGGCTGGATTTGCCCACACGCTGCCTGCAAACCCTTCCCTGTCCTCCCGCAGAATTTCCCAGCTGATTCCTCCTGGTGCTCCTCATCCTGCACTCTGGTTCTGCAAGTGCTTTGCCGAGAAATCCCCCGGTGCTGGTTGTTTTTTGCCGTGGCCGTGCAGGCGCCGGGAGGCTCCGAGCTCCGCAGGCTGCGGCGGCTCGGCTCGTCCGCGCAGGTTGGCAGCACGACTGTATCCCTGGGGATTAAAATTATATCGTTATATATATTTTTTTTTTTAAATTTTTATTTTTTTTTAACCCTCCCAAATGCTTCTTTTGGTGCAGAAAATGAGCTGAAGGTTTGTGCGTTGTTTAGTGCTGGTTTGAAAGCCGAGGTGAGGTGTGGATTCGTGCTTGCTGTCGGCTTTTAAGCCGGCATTTCCTCCACTTCCATGCTCCCATGGAGGAACTCTCCCACCTGGGATAATTGCAGGATGTTCTCCAGGGGAGATAACTGCATTTTTTCAGTTTACTCCTTTTTTTTTCCTTTTTTCCTTCTAACTGTATAAATGCTGTTTTGTTTGGTTAGGGGTATTCTTGGGTTCAGCTCTGTAGATAGATGATGGTCAGGATCTGAAAACCCCTGATCCTTTTCGGGGAAGAGGGAAAGGAGATGGCTTCCTACTGTATTTATTTGTGGAATGAAGGCTGGAGGAGCAGAAATCCATTGCATGGAGGTTTATGTCTTATACCCTGCTGGGGTTTAGGCTTCTAAAATACCTGACACTTTTGAAATGCCACAGGGATTGCTCTTGGGGGGTTGTTTAGAGTGGTTCGTGCAGCCTCCCTGCTTTACCCCAGTGATTCCTGAATCTTGGGAGGTTGCAGGAGAGCAGAGGCCCTTCCTGCAGAGAACTCTGCTCTCCCACAGCCTCCCCACGGGCTGGATATGGAGAGGGAGACAGCACCACAGTCAGGCAAGGAGAGGACAGAGGGGCTGGGATGAGGATGCCAAAGCTGTGGGAGATGAAGGGTTTGGGCTCAGGGTGGGCCCAGGGTGCAGGTGTGATAACACCCTCCCTGATGCTAAAGGTGTTTTCAGGCTGTGGATGGAACCTTGTTCTGCTGGGGTAAGGGGGGCACTTGTTTTCTTGGCTCCCAAGAGCTTTTCACTCAGGTTCCTGCTGGGAGAGGAGGACAGTCCCCACAGCCAGCAGGGCTGCCTGTCTAGTGGCCAAAGCTGGTGGCCAAAGCTGGCCAGATTCAGTTCTCATTTTGTAGTTTCCTATTTTTGGGCCATTTTTGGGCCACGGGTGTCCATATGGCCGAGGTCTAGCTCAGCTCCCCTCCAAACCTCCCTGCAGAGGTACATCCACAGGGCCGAGGCCGTGGATTCCCCTGCAGACCTGTAGACTGATGCCACCTCACCAGCTTGTTCTGGCAGGAGCACCCCATGGATACCAGGATCCCTTCACGGAGGGGATCCTACATCCAGCGCTGCGTTTCAGGGCCAGATTCCCACAGGAAAAGGGGAAGCATCTGAGCGGGAAAGCACCAGGAAGCTGCTGTGGGTGGAGGGGTCGATATGGGGACAGGGCAGGGGAGGTGGGGACAAGTGACTTTTCCATCCAGGAAGGTCCTGGCTCCCGCTCTGAACCGGGTCCAAGGCTCTCCCTGCTGCAGCCAGCTGAGCCCCAGCGGGAGCCGGCCGAGCTTTGTGCCTCGGCAATAACGTCTCATAAAATTAAATGATGTGTGTGTTGGAGTTCCGTGGATGTGGATATTTGTGTCTGAGCCTGCTCTGGCAGGAGCCTTTCTTTCCCCCCTGAGCTGAACCCACCCATGTGAATATCCTCATTTCTCCTGTTGTTTTGTTGTTTTTTTTTCCCTCCCCCCTACCCTCCTTAGGAAAAAGCTTCACCCTGACCATCACCGTGTTCACCAACCCCACCCAAGTCGCCACCTATCACCGAGCCATCAAAGTGACCGTAGATGGACCCCGGGAGCCACGAAGTAAGTGATGTGTTTTGTTTGGCAGCGCTGAGGAGTGTGGGGAGGGGGGATGCAGGGGCCCGAGTGCTCCGTGGCCAAAGGATGCAGGACACAGAGCCAGCTGGGGCAGCACATGTAGCCAAGGAGAGTGTTGGTGTGGCCAAGGGAGCCCAAAGCAGCGGGCACAGCTTGGCTCCTTGGACTTTCTCGGCACCGCAGAGCGTGGTGTGTGTCCTTCCCTGCCTCTTGCTCTCTCTGTGCTCCACATCCCATCTGGGAGGGATGGTTTTATAGCTCCTCATTGTGCTCCATAACCCGTTCGGAGGGATAGTTTTACAGCCCCGGGTTGGGATGTTGGGGAAATGCTCTGAGCTCCGACGGCAAAAACACAAAAGGCTCCAACCTGGCGCCGCACAGGGTGTGCTGGGGGGCGGTGATGGAGCCAGAGGTGCCTTGCTCAGCTTCATTGGCTGATTGCTGCTTTTTAAACTGAAAATGGTCGCAGGTTCCCTCCGTGCTGAGCTCGTATTTGCCTGTCTGTCGGAGAGCACCTTCCCCTTTGGTTGGTGGTGGTTTCGCTTTCGGGCCGTCAAAGGCTGGGGCTGGCAGCGCCGGCGGCCGGGGGCTGAGCTGCTGGAGAAAACCAAAGGCACGGTGCGACCGCAGAAGCGTCTGTGTTCTGGTGGAGGAGGCTCTCCCGGGTGCAGGATGGTGCCTCGTGGTTGAGGGAGGCTCTGTGAGTCGCCCTCGCTGGGTTGGTTTTCGGCGCCGGGCTGGTTTGAGCTCACCTTGGCGTTCCCAGCGATCCGAGGAGCGCGGGGAAACGCTCTGGAGCTGTTGGCTGGAGGAGTTTCCTCTTGCCATGAGTATTATTTGCTCTGTGGGACCCCCTGCGTGGTGGGATCTCGTCCCTGGGGGCTTCATCTCTGGCTTCAGGCTCTGGCTTTGCCTTCCTGCTGGCTCAGCACCACCCCAGGGACTATAAAGCTGAGTTTGTTCCCTTTGCGTGTGAAGCTGTCAGTGCCCACATTGAAGGGAAACGGTTTGATCCTTCTAAATGTGCCTCAGAAAATATTTTCTGTTGATGCTGTCGTGTGGCCATCGGTGCCCCTTGATGTCAGGCCAGGTGGAGGCTGTTACCTCGGCGAGGGGGTTTGATTTGCATCGGGGTTTGTTGGGTTTTCTTCCCCCTTCATTTTTATTTCGGAGCGTGAGTGGCTTTATGGGAGCCTGTTGAGCTGCTGGCTGGATTTACCAAGCTGGAATTCAGTTGTGTTTTTTTTTTTTAAGCCAGAAACACAAGACAGGTCCCTGGTGTGGGTTTGCAGCCATCAGCACCCGTGGGTCGTGGTGGGTTGAGCTTGGGCTCAGCCCGGGGCTGGGAGGGGAAAGCAGGCAGGGGCTGGGCAGGGAATTTCACAACTATTCCAGGTCAGGAATAGAAACCAGGTCTCCTGACTCCTGGCTCAGCCCCTTATCAGCTGCATCAGATCGCCTTTCTAATAATAATAATAATCATCAGGAATACATAAATAATAATACAAGGTGAGATAGTTACTACTCTTGGCGTTTGGTTTGACTTCACCGATAGCCAGCGCTCGCCAAACCCCTGTGAATCACACCCGCTCCTCCTGAATTTCAACATCCCTCCCCAGAGCTCCCCAGCTTTAATTTAAATTTTCTGATATGGAGGGGGAGGCTCCGTGGCCGGGCAGGGAGCTGGGGGGGCCGAGGGCGCACTCACCCTGTGCTTCTTTGTCCTGGGGCCGTGCCTTTGTTTGGCAGAATTAGGCAAAAACCGAGGATGGAGCGGCTTGTCCTGGCTCAGGCTTGGTGTGCCCGAGGGATGCCTTCCCTGGGACCCGGCCCGGGTGCAAGGTCAGCAGTTTTTTGCTTTTTTTTAAATTTATTTATTTTTTTAAAAAATGACTTGTGGACCTCAAAACGTGCTGGCAGTGCCGGCTCCTTGAGGAGATCTGCGTGGTGTTTATTTGCTGCTTATGCCCTTGTCTCGTGTGGACCCCAAAGGTTGATCTCTCCCCCATCCCTGTACCACCCTCCCAGCCCATAAATTACTGATTGAAGAAGTTTAGACTCCAGCTGTGGTTTTTTTGGAATTTGTTTCAGATGATCATAGATTTGTTGCCAGTAAAGGTCATATTTTGACTCCCAGTTTGACCTAGGGCTTAAATTCATCATTGATGAAAATCCAGTGTCTTGCACTGGAATAAAAAATAATAATAAAAATCTCTTTTTTTTTTTTTTTTGGCCAGCCTTCGGTTTGCAGTTTCTGATGAACACGAAATTAAAAAAAAAAAATATTTAAATAATGCCCCTTGCCCTTCCCTCCCTGCAGTCCTGTGCAGGAGCCCTTGCTGTGGAAATTACCAGCTGTGAAGTGATCCAGGCTCACTCCTGGAAAGCTGGCGTGGTTTTCCTGGTTCACCTGCCACTGGGTGGCTCTCTGGCACAGCACCCCTGTGTGCCAGCACCCACCTGGCTCCCCAGGTGGCATTTGGAGCTGGTACAGCCCTGGTAATCCCCACCTTTGGCCAAACACCATGGCTTGTGCCGCTCTCTCCCTTGTTTGTCTTTGCGAGGAGAGAGCTGGCAGAAGGAATTGCAAACTTTATGTGTGTATATGTTATAAATACACTCTGTAACATACATACATGCGTAGATATATTTTTATATGTGTGTGTGTGCAGAAAAAAAGTCGGGTTTTTCTCCCTTTCTTGGCTGCAAGCAAGTGGGACGTGGTGGGTGTTGGCTCCTGTCGTGCAGGATCAGCGCTGGCCGGGGCTGGAGGCTGGATGTGGGGCTGGTGGGGCAGGCAAAAAAGCACCCTTAATGTGGAAAGAATTGGCCATTTGTCTTGGTATCCTGGGAAAGCCCTGGGCATCATCTCCTCCGATGCAGTGAAATTCCTCCAGCAAACGTTCTCGTGGGGTTTTTTGGGCCAGGAAGGCGGCTGAGCTCCACGCCCCAGCTCCGAGCATCCCATTCATCTTCCACCCCTGTCCCATCGCTTCATCTCAGCCCTTGAGCGAGTCTTTTAACTCAAGCCGTGCCCAGAAAAACTTCTGAGGAGTTTGGAATGGGGTTGAGATGGGTGAGAAACTGCAGGGGAGCGGGTGACAGGCAGGGCCCAGCACGGGGCCGGGGGTGAAGCTGGGATGGAGGGACCAGGAGAGCTGGACCCTGGAGTTGGAGATGCTCCTTTGAGGGATCCCCAGCCAGTGTGGAGCTGATAACAGTGGTGGCTTTGGCTGAGCATCCCCTCCAAGGTCTCCCACAGTCTCCTTCTGAGTGCCCTGCTCGCTCTGAGATCTTTCTTCCCTGTGCTCAGGCTCTTTCTGGGTTAGATCTGGAGGGGGAAAAAGGACATTCTGTCAAGTTGGCACCTTAGCTCTAAACAAATAGCACAGCGGGTGCCAAGTGTTGACATACTTTGTACAAACAGGAAGTAATAAAATATTTGAACTTCCTGTGGAATTTCCTTCTTTTTTCCCCCCCCTCTCTGCAGCTCTGTGTTTAGCAAGAGCCCGGCTCTGGAGAGCTGCAGCCCTGGTGCAAAGCCCTGTCGCATCCACAGCTGCTTGCAAAATAATCCACAACAGGCAGAACATGGAAAAATGAATAGCTGGAAGCTATACAGGGATGTTTAGTCTGTTCCTGGGTAAATGGGAGCATCTCCAGGGCCTCCCCCATCACACCCACCTGCTGGCTGCCTTCCCTTTCCCTTCCCTTTTCCTTCCTTTCCTTCCCACTGCTCTCACCTCCTCTGAGACCCGCGGGCAGGATGTTGCTGTTACCGAGTTGCTTCCCAGCTATCCCTTGCAGCTCCAGCCCCTTTTCTGCCCATCTCCTGGGAACTCTTGTGCAAAGTCTTTTTTCCCCTCTAAATGCTTTTTCCCCCCTTTGATTTTTTTTTTTTTCCTGCTGCCATTCAGTGTTCTTTAACCTCTCTCCCCCTTTCCTAAATCTCCTTTGCCCTTAACCCCTTCTTTCTGGTTTCCACCCCATCCCTGCTGTCCTGGTCACTGTGTTGAGGAGCAGAGGGAGACCAAGAGGATTTGATCCCCCACAGGATCCCTGTGTCCCCCCTTGTTGCCTGCTCAGCCACAGCAGCACAGCAGCAGGTTCTTGGTGTCTCCTGCCCTGTTCGTTTTTGGTGTGTGCGTCAGAGATTTGGTGCTTTCAGTCACGTCCCCTCTTTGTGCCGCCACAATAAGTGACAGGAACGTGTCCCCATCCCGCAACATCTGCTGGCTTGGACCAGGAGAAGGGAGCTTGGGGCGAGAGCACTTCATATCCCCTCTCCCACCATGTTGTCCCTGCAGGGATTTTCTGGCTGGGCCCCATCCTGACCCTCTGGGGTCACTTTTCCCTCCCCAAAGGCTTCTTGCCCCAAAAGGCTCCGGCTGTCCCCGAGCTCCCCTCGCACTGCACGTAGCCAGGGGGTGGAAAGGCTTCTCACCTCCCACACCAATGAGTTGTTTCCAGGAACAGCCATTTTTTTTTTTTTTGCTTTCATACTTTTGAGAGCCTCAGCTGAGTGAGGGTTTCCCTCCCTGCCTCCCACGAGAGACGTCAGCCCCGAGCCCCAGCCCGGCCCCGCGCTCTGAGCTGGGAAATGAAGAGTTTGGGACGTGCAGAGGGTGGAAACCCCCTTGTGTGAGGTGTTTGTGGCATCTGTGTCCCTGGGGTGCTGGCAGTCGGTGGGCACAAGGCCGTGTCTTGGGTGCTGGTTTCCCTTAAGCACCCCATGCACTGGGCACTCTTGGCCTCAAGCATGTAAAAAAAAAAAAAGGCAAAAAACTGGGAGAAAGATTGACTGGAAAGGGAAAATTCTTGTCTGTAAATCCAGCCTGGAGAGGGCTTGGCCTCTGTTAATGGCAGTGTGCTGGGGTGACTGCGGGAGGAAGGTGCCTGTGGCCCTGGGTGCCCCCAGCCCTGTGCTGGGACATCTCTTCCAGCAGTGTTGGCCGACTGGGAGCCCGGGAGGAGAAAGGGTTGTA